TTCCTGTAGTTCATGTGCGGGTTTTATGTCAAGCAAGCACATACAATCTAGTTCCACAAAGATGAAGTGCTGAGAAAAGTGCATTGAGTTCAAATCCCTCCTTGCAAACCAGAGGGAGAGTACAAAGCAGTCATGTGCCTCACAAGGGCAGTGGTTTCATTTGTGGGAATCTGTACTGCCACCAGCAGAGATCCTGAGAAAATGTAACTGAGGGCTTAAGGCCTGTTTGTCCATTAGCTTGCCCTCAAAGGTTTTCTCCATGTAGCCTTAACTTAAACCAGCAAAGAGCCTTGTTGAAACTGCTGCTTTTTTTTTTCTTTTTCTTTTTAAAAGAGACCAACTGTGCTTTTCTTTCATTCTGTAGAGTACACAGCTGACATTATTATCCACATGCTTAGCAGTGCCTGTGCTGTAACCGATGACGCTCGTACTTAAATGCACTGGGAAGACAGGAGTGGGTTGAAGCCATTTTTAGAACAACATGCTATTTCCTTTTTTAGTGCTGACTCATTCACTGTACCTTGTGGTATGTTTACCCCAACTGCTTGCTGCTTTGGAGGCTGTTGAATGAGGAAGGAATATTAATCAGTGAGCACATCGCACTGTGCTCCAGAACTACAGTCATGGTGAGTGTGAAGCCCTTGCCTATTTTTTGGCTCTGTTGTGGGAATTATTTTTCATTAACTAGCATTCAAAGTTATTTCACTTCTGGAAGCTGCAAGTGACTCTTTTGTGCGTATCCTTTCAGCACAGTTATCTAGTTCATCTCTGTTTTTTTTCCTGTTAAAAGTCTTTGCTCCTTGCTAGTACTCATATCAGAGTGGAATTAATCAAAGTCATTGCACTGTACACATGTGAACCCTAATTAGCCAAAACAGCTGATGAAGACAGAGGACATCTCACAGCTCATTTATCTTCTTCTTCTTAACATATTTTATATTAAAATTAAAGTGACTTGGAAAACAGTAGCAGCCACTATGGCTAAAATATACAAAAGCGTGCTTTATTGCACGTGTGTTCTACTTGGGCTGTTTTGTTGCTGAGTGAGGTGTCAAAGTGTTGGATGTCCAGAAATGCACTGAAATGCTCGATTTGTTTGCATTCAAAATAGAAATTAAAGGCCCATACATAGTAACTGTAGCTAATAATTCACAAGATGGTCTGAAATCTTGAATCTCTGAAATATTTTGATTTCACTAACCATATGATAAATGGTTAGTGTACAGTTGCAAATGGTAGACCTCTGCTATTGAGGTGATAATTGGTCAACCATTGACATTACAGCCCTCCCAAATGAGCTTCTCACTCTTCCCCTCTCCCTTGTTCCTGTGTGCTCCCATCACCTCCACTGCAGAAGGAGTGAAGGAAATCTGATCTGAGTTTAAATGATAAAAATAATCACTATTTTACACAACTGTATTTCAACTAATTTAGTTCTCTCAAACCATCTGCTTTAGGACTAGATGACCATCCATGCTTGAAAAAGGCATGCTGACTGAATCACCTCTGACTTCCAGCACCACACTCCCAGTCCCAGGAGATGCCTTAGCTGCAAGGACTCTGTGTGGAGAAGGAAATGCAAAACCCTAAAAGAGGAGCCAGAGATTAAGCTTGGAGATTTACCAGGTTAAAGAAATACTTGCTTTCAACTCTAGGACATGACTGAAGCATATAAAGAGCAGGCAACTTCAAAATCCCTTGTCTTATCTCCTTTTCCCAGGCATTTGTTAATTTGCTAGTAGCTTCCTTCTTTGAAAGAAAATTCCTATACTCACTCTTCAGAGTTTCAGTTTGAAGGAAAAAAAGCTCAATAATTATGACAGAAGACAAAGTAGAAGCTCAAATATAAGACAGTAAACAAAGTCTCAAGCATAGGTCTTTGAGATTCTGTATATCAAAAGTCTCAGTGGAAAACAGAAGTAGAAATATTTCATGCAGATACTGAAAAAAATAATAGGAAGAAAACCAATAGATAGAAAACTGAGGTGGCTACTGAGAAACTTCATATAACTAGGCAGTAGAACAAAAGTAGAAAAAAGGTAGTAGAACAAAAAAAAAAATATATATAAAAATTTGATAATAATATATAAATATCGACATTTATTTTTGTTATTCAGAGGTAATTTACATTTTTGTGTATTCATTGAAGGACTGTAATTTCACAGCTTTATTTTAAAAATAATTAAAAATATATACCTAATATCAGTCAAGAAAAATGTATTTAATACCACTTTAAAAACAGAGACCCTGTGAAAAGCCTTGGGGTTTTATGCTAATCTGTTCACTTGTGCACCTCAGGGAAATCTGCTGCTGCACATCAACTTCATAATCCCTTGGATTCTCATTGCCATCTACTTTTGAGCAAGGCAGCAAAATCTCCTGGGTAGGAATTCTGACATGTTTCTCTACTTTTCTCAGTTTCTGAACCTAATGATTATTTTTATCCAATCATTATCCAGTGGTGCTGCTTTTACTGCCATAAGAATAGCTAAATATCCCTCCTCAGTTTTGCAGATAAAGCAGTTGAAGTGTTCAGAGATTAACAAATTACATTTCCTGGGTCAGAGAGAAAGTTCCTGGCAGAGGTAATAATGAGACATATTTCTGATCTTAATGATTACATCGTGACAGCCCAATATCCCTCAAAGCAGAAGTTTCAAAACCAAGCATTTAGTTATGACATTGGCAGAATGGAATCCCCTCAATTTGTTTGCTGACCTTGGGCAGTGAATAAGCCAGCCACTCAGTCTGAAGGATATCTATGCTCTGAATGGCATATTCTGATATGATGAAACATATGTTTTATTTTAATATTTATAATTAGAATATTTGTTATTGTTGTATTGTCTTGTATTACTGCTTTGGACAAAAGGAGAGATTCCTTGTGGTAGTAACCATTTCCATTATAGGATCCCTGTGAATAGGGAATGGGTACTGTCCCATTTTTAAAGGGTTTTAGAAAGAAAGATCACAAAGTCTCTGTGCAGCAAAACTTTGAATTCACATCTCCTGGATTTTAAGCTGGATAAGCCTTCCTAATTACTGAATTTAAATTCCTTTTTTTAGTAATCCTGATTCACAAAAAGCATAAAAAATGGCTGTAAAGAACTGTGCTTTTCCAACCCCTAGGCCTGTCACTGGGCTTTATCTAAAGTTCAGTGATAACCAAGTTAGTTTTTGAGCTCAGTCTTTCACATTCACTTGAGGATGCTGATAAAAGTTGGGAGTAAGGAGAAGGCAAATGAAAATTAAATTTATAGCTTCTGCAAAGACAAATGAGATGTAGGAGTGGGGGGATGGGGTAGAAGAAACTATGAAACATGATTCAGAAGGAAAGCACTAAAGCCAAAAGAGGTGTAGAGGAACCAGAGTTTTCAGGGTAGAAGTATGTAATGGGAAGGAAAAATCTAATAATGTCTAAACTTCTCTGTAATGTCACAGCTGTATGCATGGTTTTAGAACGTAGACAGAATGGAAGTCTCTGCACATGACGCACTTCCAGTTCTGGCTCGTTGAGTTAGATCAAAAACTTCCAGGGAAGTGCAGTCTATTTTACATACATGAGAATGTACTTGGATATGATAAAATACCACAGCTGTCAGTCTAGATTGGAATCAATTTGCATGGTAATGCTCTGAGGGCTGCAATTTATTTTCCTTTCTCTGCAATCAGAAACTTTCCCTGTTTCACTAGGGAAGATTGATCCTGGATGTCTGCATATGCATTTGAAAAGATCTGGCTCTTCCAGTATGACTCACCCCTATTGGATACCTATAGCTCTGAGAGGAGAGAGATCTGCACAGAAGTACAGTCATTCCTGCAGGGCCCAGAGAAACTGAAAATCTCATAATACATAGATCTGGACTAGAGATTTCCCCATGTTAATGTGAGAATTGGTGAAGTTCTGTAGAAAGAGGAGTTGCTTAAAAAGAAATAGAAGTGAATGTACTCAGAATGTACTCAGAACAATGTGGGCTTTGCAGGCTATACTTAGTATAAATTACTAACGGAATATTTGTATACTACTTTTTTTGTGGTGACAAAGCTACGTGAAGAAGTTATCCTCTGAGGTACTCTCTCCTTTTGCTCTGCACCCACTAGAATTCTCTGTATAATCTGATGTGCTTATATCACTTGTGATGCGACTGTGCTGGACATAGGCCAGGTAAATTATACAAATGTCTAAAAATAGTATTTTGGAAAGTATTATTTAAACCCCTGTCACTTTATTATACAGATAATATTGCAGCATGGTAAATAGTTACATTAGCACGACTTTGGAGTGCCAAATGGCATCAAGCAGGAGGTATTAAAATTTAAATGTAGGAGAAAGTGGGAGCTTCTTTGTTGCTGCAAGAGAACACATGTGCAGAGCACCATCAAAACCAGTCTGAGGCCCAGGGCTGAAATATCTCTCTCCCTGAGGTACCCATGTATCTTTTAACACAGATGTTTTTATAGTATGGTTTTGAAAGAGGCTGAGTTCAATATGATCCTGGGTGATCCAATCATTAAAAAGAACTATGTGGGTGATCATCACCACAACAAAGCACACCAGTAAACCCATTCATCTATTACTTACAAAAACATGGAGAGAAGGAATAAAAGAACACAAAAATAGGATTCTCCACAGCCTGTTTTAAAAATCACTCATTCATGGAGGTATTTAAAACACTCTTTCTAGCTCTCAGACTGCTGAGAGTACTGCTCCTTTTTTAGTGTGATGTACATCAAGGTGTTCGGTATGATTTCCAAGGATGAAAATACATCTACTGACCTGAAACTAATTTATATCACACCTGTTTTATAGTTTTTAATTTGTGGTCTATAAACAAAGACAAAACCCAGAGATTTCTCACTTGAATGGAATATCTGATATTTGCAATTGGAGAGCCATACAGAAATTCTTTGAGAGGTACCTTTGTATATTTTTTACAATGACTATGGCATATACTGTGATGCTCTTTTCATTAAAAATCTCAAGAAAATCTTCCTCTTACCTGAAGGTAATGGCACGGCCTCAAAGAAGGTTTGATTTCCTGATGAACCAGAGGCTTATCTAAGTTCAGTGATGATTTGCGATAAGCTTCCTTAGCCTGACTTACTGTAAGCGTGGACCAAGAACTCCTTTTCATATATTTACTATCAGGGGTCATTGGTAGCCCTTCACAAGCCGAACACTTCACATCATTGTTACTTTTGGAAGTCTTCAATGAGAGATCCCCAAAATGCCCCTGGAGTGCCTCAGGATAGCAATGGGATATATGATCTGCATGGTGCCTATTTACCACACTAGGGGTTCGGTAAGTGCTATCGCTGTCCAAATTATCATCAGAGCTCCACCAGCTACTCATTCCAGATTTATGCTTGCCTTCTGGTTTTCGCTCCTTACTTTTACTCCTTTTGCTGTGCTTGGAATGGTGCCCATGATGATGATCGTCCCCTCGGCTGTCTCCCTTTGTTCCATTAACATTGCCCTTGGATGATCCTTCCAGAGAATGAGATTTAGTAAAAAGTTTCTGGACGGAATGAACGAGATGGCGAATCCTTCCCGGGCTCTCACTGCGTTGTTCCGCAGCTGTTGAGGTCCGCTGGTACTGTAAAGTATGAAACCCATCCCGGTGAAGAGGAAGCTGTTTCTCAAATTGGTCCAAAAGATTCGCAGGAATACGGTTAATCTTGGGGTTACCGTGAGACATGGCGCAGTCGTCTCTGGAGTCGTAATGTGAGCTGTAGTGCATTCTGGGGAAAGTGCTACTTGACATGTGATCGCCCATTACCATGGGCATCATCATGCACTCAGAATGGATGGAGCTGCGGGGGGAGCAACGGTGGTGGTCCAGCGGGCAACTCTCCGTGGGGCTGAGAAGATACGATGGTCTTGGCTCCTGCCCATGGTGGATATGGTCGTGGGTATGTTCACAATCTTCAGGGGATGCTAAGCCACAAGTATGAGCTGAACATAACTGTGGTTGATTGCGACTACCAGATAATCCTTTCATATTCCTCGGAGCAGGAGAATATCTTTCTTCATTGAAGTGCTGAGAAGGCGACCATGAGTACTGCTGGTCTGTCATGAGAACACATAAAACCTGTGTTATGTGTCTGATTAAAAGATTACCTTGAAAATTCCAAGTATATTGAAAAACTAAACATTTTTTCTCTATGACCTTGGTGGAAAGTCTCACCATTCATGGAATTTCTTCCACCATTTAAAAACTAATTAAAATTGTTCAATATGAATAAATTATGGGGAGAATACAGCCTCATTTCTCTTTGCAAAATTGTGTGCTAGCAATTCTAGATGTTATGAAGCTATTAATTGTGTAAATTTACTCAAATTTAATAGATACATTCAAGTATTCAGTTTATTATTTAATATTTATAGCTCATATGTCAAGCTTTGTGACTAATCATTTAAGTTACATGGGTCTAGTTTCTATTTTGGTGGTTTCACAGCTGAAATATTAAATATATCCTTTCTCCATGTAGTCATTTTTGTACTATAAATTGAACCTAATTTTCTTGAATGAATCTCAGCTTCATGATCCTAAGTTCACTCTTCATAAATATAAATAATAAACAGCAATAAGAAAAAATATGAACGTGCTGAAATGAAGCTAAATTTTTATATTGCTAAACAGTTTATCAATAAAAACTTTTATGACCACACTACATAATATTTATTTAATCACTCTAAGTTATTCCTGAAAAAGCCCCAAATATATTTAGGTACAAGCTATGGGGTTTTATATACTTGATTACTTTTTCCTATGAATCATGTGCTCTGAGTAGTGGTTATTATGCAAGCACGATTGCTAAATAAGAGTAGCTTGTAAGCAAAGATTTTGATACTTAAGCCTTTGGTTTGTTTTTTTGTCTCTCATGCAATTTCTTGCAGCTGTCAAATGTTACAAACAGAAAAATAAAAACAACCCCAGAAATACTTCAATTTTGTTTTCCCATTCACTTTCCCTCTTCAATTTCAGCTTATTTAAGAAACATTTCAAGAGCAGACAAAGAGATAAGATGCAAGATAATCCTTTAGAGGATAAGACAGATGTGTAAGTGTTTATACAACCCACTTAGCACAGCCTTTCTGCAAATTTGCTCTAAGAATCTAAATAATCTTGCACAGGTGGTTGATACAAGGAAGTTGCAGGTCTCCACCAGAATGGAAGCTAGAGAATATTTATTAACTGGACACTTGAACCAAGCTTCAGAGATAACACAGTAATTGACAGCATTTGGACAGGTTTCTCACTGTATGACAAAGCTCTCCTAAATCAAAGTCTTCACTGTTAGTGAAAACTCAATGCCTGAATATGGTCATGAAACAGATCAATATTCATATCTCTCTTATATTGTAATATGTTTTACATCATGATCCCTTAACCTAAGTGCTGTGTATTTCCTATTGTGGGAGATATTTTAATATCGTTATTACACACTAACTTCAACAGAGTTACACACAACGTTTTAAAATGAACACAGCATTAAACTAATAAATAGTGAAGTATTCTTCAGCCTAGGCATAATGATGCCACACTGAAGTCAAAGATGGATTTAATGGTACAAATGCCACCTCTATACTTTGTCATGCCATCAAACTGATGGGTCTGTGCATGTATTCCTTTCTGCTTCTATTTTGTTTTCCTGTCTGTTTCTTCTACTTAATTCTTGGCTATTATTGCATTAAAATAAAATCTCATTACTGCTGATTGCTCAGTCTGTTGTCCTATTAGGTTATAATACCTTGCATAAATGTAGTTACAGGAAGGAAATATAAGTGTTTCTCTGAAATGACATAATTTTGATTATATGCAGACGTGGCAGTAAATTATAACAGTGCTTTGGAATTCAGCTACATAAAGTAGTCCTGTAATTAGTGGTACTTTGCCCAGGATATTACCAAACATTATCAGGGGAATAATAATGGACCATGTACTGAATTTACTTAGTCTGTATTTCTCATAAAGGGTTCCCAAAGCACCTGACAGAGATTACTACCATAGTTCTTACAAACCCATGAGATTAGATAGACTGAAGAAGATTTTTTTATGAGGATGGTAAAACACTGGAAGAGATTGATCTCATCTAAGATGTCCCTGCCTGTTACAGGGAGGTTGGATTATATGACCTTTAAAGGTGCCTTCCAACCCAAACTATTCTATGATTCTATGTGGAAGGTACTGTTCTCCTTTTACAGAAATAGGAAGTTACAATATAGGAAATATTTTCCAAAGTGTTTATGGATTTTCTGATATTAATGTTCACAGAGGTGTGAGCCAGAGGGAGGTGGAAGGAAGCTCTTCTGTCACTCTAACAACATGATGAGAATCAGCCCCAAGCCTTTTCATCACAATCTTGCCCATCCATGAATGAATATAACTCATACTGTGCCTCACCAATGTATTTAGCGAAACAAAAAAAAGGCCATGGCAGAGATCCAGAATGAAAGAAAGAGAATAAGAAACTAATTTTAAAGGAGTTCTGGAGCACGGAATTGCTAGTCCCTGGTGATTTTTTTAGGCCTCATGCAACATCAAACATAAACCAGAAGGCTTCACATATTTTTGTTCTGTTACATCCCTAGGAGTATGAGAAGTGATGATTTGACTGCACTGCAATGGATAATCTGACAACAGCTTTTCTGTCCCTCATGGCTCCCTGTGATTCCAACTCATTTTGCAACTATAGAAAAATATCATTTTCTCTATGATGCTTTCACATAGCATGTTTCATATAACATTTTATGAGCTACATGGAATGTCTTATTTTTTTTTTGATACACAGTAGCTAGAAACTGCTATAGGCACGTATTAAACGTAATCAAAATAATTAAAACATGAATTAAGAAGTAGATGTTTTTCAGAAGTAATTGCCCCCTCTTAACACTGTCATAGAGAGTAACTAAAACTAGATAAACTCCCAGATTATATACATGTGCATCATTTAAATTTATCACTCTAATTAGGTTTGTCAATCTAGGATATCAAACTTGTTCTTTATTCCAGACACAACTAGTTCTTCATATAAATATTTTGAAAAATCTTCAGAATTTTGAAATACAATATATTAATTTATCAAGTAATTTGTGCTTTGTATTATTCAGTCAACTTTCTTCAGGAGACTGAAGTGCTTGAAGAAACAGTTGAGCTGTGGCTGAATGAATTACTGTGTGGTACCAGAGCAGTGTAATTGCCCATGTGCTAGCTTTTAGCCTGCCAAGAAAAATGTCCTAGTTTAAAATTCAATTAAGCTAACATGCTTTTCTAGAATTTGCAAGGGGCTAAAAGTATGTCTATGGTCAATGACCACAGCACAGCTGATTAATAAAAATTCATAAAGCGACATCAATTTTTTTTCCAATATTTTCAAAAGAAATGTAATATTTTGGTATAATTAAATAGTTTCATATTTGATAGGTCAAATAATGACAAATTGGACTGAAGCTTTAGTCTATAACTCGAAGTTTGTGTTTTTTTACAACAGCTCTTATGTTTGCTCTGGGCAATCATTCTAAAAACATAAAATGCCACCATCAGAACTAAAGAGCTAAAGGGAGACAGAAGAACAAATAAACATAACCCAAAGCAGAAAAAGAGATTAAGGAATGGGAACAGAGAAAAAGATATTATATGAGAGCATAGGAATTTTTTTTTTTTTTAGATTTCATCAGAGCAAAATGGAATCTTCCAACTAACTTCAATGGATAATCAGATAATATTTAAAGACTGGGGTTGGGGGTGGTCCTAGAATAAGACAAAGTGCTGTTATATCAGAGATTCCAGTAATTCCAAAACCCTGAAAATCCCTTAAAGCTCTTCTTTTTCAGAGACTACTGTACAGATATGTCAACCTTTAACCTCAGCAGATGGAAGGATTTCTGCATCCCTTCCTATCTCCTTCAAATCTTTCCCTGTTATGCCATGTTGTGTCCTGCTTTTTTTTTTTTTTTTCCTCCTGTTTTCAGTTTTGGACTTTCTGAGAGTTGTTCTCTTGCTCCAAGAAGATGTTGCTTTGCTTGTGTTTGGGGTCTGGCCACTATTTTTAGATCATCCAAGAAATTTCCTTGTGCTAGTCAGTATCAAGGAAAGAAAGATAGGTTCAAGGACCAAGAACTGCTATTAGTGTTCTAGATTAGAAGGCTAAAACCCTCTAAGTAAAGCAACATAAGAGCTGTGCATTTCTAGAGTTCCTGGAACACTGCTCTTGGCTAAAGAGCATCAATAGAAAAACACAGAAACTTCTCTGACATTCAAAAGAAGTGCTTGACTCCACAAATCTTTTTGTGTGTTGCATATTAGAAGCAAGTTTCAGGGTGTGATAATACTCTCTGGAACTATTTAATGATGCCTAACTTTTTTCTTACTTTTCTTTCTATTGTGAGGTTAATTTGAATTGCTTTAACTGTATAAGTCTGTCATAAACTGCTTTCCCATCTGAAACATCTGTGCCGTTTTCATTGGAGAAGGAACTGTTCTTCTGCCTAGTGTAACCAGGAAAATGCACTGCTGAAGAGAGATAACTAATTTTGCTTTCAAAAATAGATAACTAATCTAGCTTTCAAAAAGAGATGGTAGACAAAAACAAATTGCTGCATCTTGCTGTTTCACACAGTTGAATCAGTGAAAAATATATCCTCACAGATTAACCTATAACTAATAAAAAAATCAAATATTGGGAAAATGGGCATATTAATTAAATAAGTAGACATTAAGCATGAAAATGCATAATTAAATGTTTTAGCTGGAAAAATGTCTGTCCAAGGTCTGCATTAAGTAGTATTATATACATATATATATATATATATATATATATATATATATAAAATATTATTAGTTAGTTAGTTAGTAGTATAGTTAGTAGTATCAGTTAGTTAGTTATTAGTGTATATATATAGTATTATATATATATACTTGTTACAGTATTTTTCTCTGTCTTATACTAACCTTGAAAATTAATATTTACAGGGATTGAAAAGAGTGACTAATTGGCCAAATGCAAGGAAGAAGTCCTGGAAATGCAAATGCCTTAAACTTCTCTTATGGTCTCATGAAATTTCCA